AGTAATCCAGGTTACTAATGGCGCACCTTCTGGTGGTGCGCCATTAGTAATTTTGCAAAAAAAAACATACTAATGGCGCACTGCTCCAGAGTGCGCCATTACTAGTTTAAACTAGTAATGGCGCACGGTGGAGAAGTGCGCCATTAGTAGTTTTGTAAAAAAAGGAATAAAAAATATAATAAAAAACAACATTAGTGGCGCACTTTTCGACAGGTGCGCCATTACTAGTTACAACTAGTAATGGCGCACTTCATCTGGATGCGCCATTAGTATGTTTGGATAGGCGCACTAGTTCAAAAAAAATTGATACTAATGGCGCACCTTGGGCCAGGTGCGCCATTAGTAGTTTCAACACTAATGGCGTAGCAGAAGGTGGTGCGCCACTAGTATATACTAATGGCGCACGGCCTGTCTGGTGCGCCATTAGTGTCAATCCCATCTATAGCCCTTTTTCTAGTAGCGCAATGTGTTTTTGATTTTTTTTGTCTAGATTAAGGTCATCTATTGAGTCGAATTTACCCCTTATTTGTGTTGTTTGTCCTACATATTTTTGTATGTTGCCACAGTTAAATCAATGAAATTGTTGCTAGCAGATTGAATGACCCGGGCAAGATAAAATTGATAGAACATTATCATCCAAAATCTGAAAGATCTGGTAAGAAGAATACACTTTCTTAGGCATTTTATTATGTTCTACTCCTTCCGTTTGTTTTTATAAGACGTTTCAGACAGCTTGCTTTCTACTATTTTGAACAGTGTCTGAATGTCTAAAACGTCTTATAAAAATGAACAGAGGTAGTACTTGAAACTATAATTCTAGTTTTGTTATTGTAGGTTATTGAGCCCTGGTGTCTGATAATGTGTTTTGGAATTTGAGAATGGAAGACATACTTTTCAAGAAATTTTGTCGTTTATTTTAACATTATATTGAGCAGTGTGACTGTTGAATCTTTTTAACCTTTTATAAATCGACTTCTATTATGTTTGGTAATCCGTGTTACAAGCTATGAAACACACCTTTATTTAACGCATCGGTTGCTAGATTCTTTTGCAATGGTTAAGTGGTGCATCAGGGTAAGATTAGCTCCGGCTCCGCCCCTGCAAGACACATTCAGGGATTTAGGCATGGGGTTCGTTTGCACTGAGCTTTACAATCTCAGGGTCTAAAATAGACTTCACTCCTTCTACTCAGGCTCAAATAGAGACGCTCTCAGTCTAATAAAAAATACTCCAAAATTTATGAATATGAGAGTCGCAGGGAAGATCGATCGATCAACGAATTTTGTGACTACGGGCGGCCTCCTTGGGACTAGGCATACGTGTTGGTTGGGACACAAATCGAGAAACACATTAACACGGGAGGTACTAGCGCGCTGGAATGCTGGATGGATTTATTAATTAGAGTATTAATTAGCGAGACGAGTGACACAAGATATATACCGGCCGGCTGGCGAGGAAGGAAGATACTATGAGACGATCAAGACCGGCTTGTAGTATAGGAGTACTGTTGTTCAACGGACTTGTGGTCGGCAAGAATGTCCACACGCGCGGCGCTCGAGAACTTGACGCTGGCGGACGCCGATGCCCTCGACTGCGGTGTCTGCTGCCTCCCGCTCAAGCCGCCCATCTTCCAGGTACGTATACGTACTCGCACGCACGCACGCGCCGACCCCCGTCCGTCTCTCCTTCCGCCCGAGCGCTAATCGTACGTAGTAACAAGATAAACCTGCCATGTCTCCGGCCCTGCAGTGCGGGGTGGGGCACGCGCTGTGCGAGCAGTGCCGCGGCAAGCTGGCCTCGGCGCGAACCTGTCACGTGTGTCGCGCTCCGATGGCCGACGGCTACCGCCGGAACCACGACTTGGAGCGGCTGGTGGAGTCCATCCGCGCGCCCTGCCCCAACGCCGCCTACGGATGCGCCGCCAGACCGGTCTACTACGACGGGCCCCGCCACCTCGAGGACTGCCTCCACGCGCCGTGCCACTGCCCCGAGGAAGCCTGCGGCTTCGTCGGCTCCACGGAGATGCTGCTGGCCCACTTCGCCGGAGAGCACGAGTGGCCGTGCACCAGCGGCGTCCGCGCCGGGGAGTCCTTCTCCGTGGACCTCGAGGACGGCTTCAACGTCGTCACCGTCGGGGACGGCGCCAGGGAGCTGCTGTTCCTGGTGATGGCGTCGCCCGTGTACCTCGGACGCGCCATCTCCGCTGTATGCGTGTGCCCCCGAACTGACGGCGGCGATGAGATCTTCTACGGGATCGAGCTCGAGTTCGAAAGATTAGGCGGCTGGTATGGTGAGCGCCTGAAATCTTTTTTCAACGTGGAATGCACGAATCTCTCCAGTGGCCTACCCGATCCCGACGACCGCTTCCAGTTCCTCCTGCCCAATTCTGTCAAGCCATATGAGGCGGTAACTATCAAGATCGAAGCCTGCATTTACACCGAGATACAGTAATAATTCGTTGATGTCTGCTAGCTAGTGTTAGTGTGTTACGAATCGCACTAGTCGTCGGGCTGCATTGCATGCCAACGTTGTGTTTCATTCATGGTGAACCATTCGAAGTAGGGCAATTTGAAGAAATGCCACACTTTTCCTGGTACTTTGCTCCTATAGCACACCTTTCATTTTATTAGATTAAATACCACACTTTATATTGATAACTAGATAAAACACCACAGAATGGATTTTTTCCTTCGTTTCCACGTCCAGACCCACCCTTCATATTTAATAAGACGGATTTGCCCTCCGAGTCGTTTCCATCGAACCTTTCCTGGTCTTATGAAACGATGAATCCACATGAGATAAATAGATAAAGCAGTGCGCCGCTGCCTCGTCATGCCTCCTCCGGTCCTCCTGAACGCTGCCGCCTCGCCATGCGTCCTCCCCGGTGAGCCGCCGCCTCGCCGTGCCTCCTCCCCGGCGAGCCGCCCGTTCCTATGCAGGAAGCAGCGCCGTCCGCCGCGCTCCAGCCCCTCCGCCTTGCGAGAGAAGAGAGGCGCCGGCTCTTGAAGTGCCCCTGCAGCACGCGCCCCGTCCAGGTGTAGCTGTACAAGCCTGCTAACTGTTGGTGGCTGTACTGGCTGTCTGTTGGTCGTTGTACATGCATGTTGGCTGGAGCTGCTCGTTGCTCAAATTATTAGCTTTTTAGCATATGGCTCAACTAAAAAACTAGTGGCACAGACTAACAACTTTGTACGTGCTGATGGTTTAGATGTAGGAACTGTTACAAGAGGATATGGAAGCTTCTTCATATGGATGTAATCAAACTTCAGATTGAATGGATGTAACACGTTTTGATGTTTAGTTTAGTGGATATGGGAGAGGAGTGGCAAGCTGTTGGGCGGTGGCAGATCGTACGTGCATGGGAGGAGAAGAAGCAGTATGAATCACAGCGAGGCGGCAGCGCGCCGGGAAGGAGGAACGGCGATGTAGTGTTCTGGGATAGGAGGCACGTTGAGGCGGCGGCGCGGTGCTTCGTTCTAGTCAGCTGCGTTCATCGTTTCTCCTTTTTTTGATCTGTTGATCGTGGAAACGGCCTGAGGGTAAATCTGTCCTGCACAAATTTGTTGTGGGTCTGGGTGTGGAAAAGAAGGGGGAAAATCAATTTGTGGTATTTTGTCCAACTATCAATCAAAGATGTGCTATTTACTCCAATAAAAAGAAAGGTGTGGTATAGGAGCAAAGTGCCAGGAAAGCCGTGGCATTTTCTCAAATTGCTCTTCGAAGTATTTGATTGATATTCCCGTCACTCGAATCCTACCAATCAAAAGGCTCTGAAGTTGTATGCAAGAAAAAGGCTATTTAGTATGTTGTCTTTTCACCAGCTCAATCTTTTATACTTCATCTGTTCCAAAATATAGGCCGTTTTAGCTTGCTAAAACGACTTATATTATGAATGAAACGGAGTGAGTATGAACTAAAGCAAGTGCAAAGCCATCCGATGAACCGGATGGTACATAATGCGCTTCGATGAACTGGATGTGTACGTTGCTCTATCAAAGGAGACAGGTTCCCAACCACGGCACATTCAACTTAATTCATCATACACTGACGCCACGGGTTGAAAAAAGGGCATCATACTCGTACACACGTCAAACTGCCCGAATATAGAGAAACATATCCATTAGCACACTGTAAATTTATTTGCATAGACATGGAACAAATCACGACACAACCACCAGTACCAGTAAATATCAAAGATTTTTGCAAGGTTTCACTGCAACGATCCCGTTCATGATACAAGGGGACAACTGGCATCCTGAATATGCAGATTCTTCTCAACAACAGACACGGAAACAAATGGACTAAAGACGCAGATTTATGTTCATAAACACTATAAATAACTGAGCAAGCACACGGATGTAGGAGAGTTGGAACCAAGTTTGCCGCCAAATGCTGGTAATGCCGCCAAGGCAAATGCACCTTGGGACGAGTGTGTATGCACATACAGGGAAGCTTCGGAAACTGCGCTTGCACCGAGGCTGGAGATATGGGAGAGCCTGCGTCAGTCGTCCGCTGTATGTTGCTTGCATCCCCTAGGACCAAAATGCTGCGACGTCTTGAGGACGACCTTCCGGCACAATGCACAGAAGTGCCGTTGGCATGCCCAGCAGTATAGATGGTTGTTGTTTCCGATCTGCAGAGAGTTACCAAAGCAAATACAGAATCATGAGGAAGAGCAAAGTATTCGTGCAATGCAGAAAGAAAAATGAAATTACAAAGCTGAAGTCGTTAAGATCTATGAATTCACACCCATAAAAGAATATCTGTGAATTCACTAGGAGTATGTGGGGAGTGGTTATAGCCTGACATCTGTTGGCTGAAGCAACAAAAGGTACACTGACCTAAACATCACGCTGATTTAATTGCTAGTTAATTATGACTCGGAAGTTATTTGCAACTGAAGCGGAACAAACAGTTAAACTAAGTAATCATGACTAGAGGTGAAAGCACCACCACTGGAGTAAAAATCCTGAATGGCAACTTTTTTCTTAAGAAACAAATTAACCACAAGCAGTTGTACGTGAAGTAGCACATTTTGGTTTCTTGATGCAAAATGCAGGCAATTGCATCATTCTCATGATTACTAGAGATGCTGCTCCTGAGATACCTTCACAAATAAAGGATTTTGACAGTACCTTTGGAATTGGGTTGCGGCAAGTAGGACATGGGTAACCATATTCTCCTTCGAAGATTTCAGCCTGCGCTTGCGCAACTACTTGGCGTTGTTGCCTTTGATTCATTTGCATTTCCCATCTATCAATTTCCTCCTGATCAAATACCACACAATCACCCCTGGAGGCAACAACATGATTATTTGTCAAGTCACAGCTATGCCAATGAACAAAATTAGATATTACTGAAAGGGAACTTACTTGAAATGATCGTATCCACTGATTGCAGCATTACACTGGTAGCAGAAGAACCGCCCGCAGTTCCAACAGGTCATCTTATTGCATCCTTCTATCTTAGATATAGCCATCTTGCATCGTGGACACTGTTTTGCATCCTTCAAAATTTCCTTGATGCTGCGTACTTCATCCACAACCTTCTGGATATCTCCCTTCACTTGGCCAGACTTTTGACGTCTCTGTGTGAAATAAAAGTTAGCAAGTTAGCATCCCTGACAAAATGGCCCCAGATATATAAACATATATGACTTTCTCTGGGAAGAATGGTGTCATTGTTACTGAAGTTGGTCAAAATGTAAATTCTCTTCAACTTAATCATCCAGTTGATGGATAGAAGAAAAACACATGTACATCAATACTTGCAGACACCTAGCCATGAAGTGCAGTAACTGTTTTAAAAAATGGTCAAAAGGCATTCAGATCACGATAAAATATGTTGGTAACTAAATCATACTTATCTATCAAACCTAAAACTACAATTAGAACCAGTCACCAGGTAACCTCTTAGATTCAGGACTCATATTTAGAACCATATCGTAAAGCAATCACTTTAGAAACTTTCCATGTGAGTCACTAGTAGTAGATACGACATCCCCAGATCCTCTTAACTGCACCCGAGGCCTATCTGCTTCTGATAGCCACCATACATGCCTCACCATGTCGCCAATCTCCATCCTACCAGATCTCACAATTGGCCAGTATGTAGTAAATCGGTAATTTCTTGGCATGAATTTGTATCTCGTCATTTGTTGGAATGGTTATGCTAATCTATGTCAGTATCTATTGAGAACCTTGCTGCTAGTGTTAGTAAACATTTTCTATTAGTTCACGCTCAGGGACCGCAGGACATGATTTGCCAACCATGGCCTACTGAACCATAATTGGATATAATTAAACAAATTGCAAAACAACTAGATGTGTGTGTGGGATGTGGGTGGGGGTGGGGGGGGGGGGCACTGTGCTACTCCCTCCGTTCCTAAATGTAATGTGTATTGTTTTGTGCCCTTAAACAAGTCACAGATTAAAAGGTGAATTTGAGACAATAGTACCCCTAACTAATTCGGTAATAAAAGAAACTAATTTAGTAGTACATGCCATGATCCATGCATGGCATTCATATCTCCAATAATTCCAGATGGTCATATGGCACACAACATGGAAAAAATAAATCAGAAAGATACTCCGCGTAATTAACTACCAAAAGGAAGCAGAATTAGTGTACTCCTCGTAATAGTTGCCTAGTTGGAAGTCAGTGATAGGGGCAGAAATGGAAATCCCATGGGAGAATAGAAATACACCTTACAATATGGAATTTTAGTAAAAAAAATAAATACACCTTATATAATGGAACGGAGGGAGTATTTGCTAAATGTATGTATGAGAGATACAGTCCACCTACCTCCAAAATAATAAGTTTTTCTTCTGGAGATAAACATTCCACCCCAACATGACGGCGGTCTCTACAAAGTGTGCAGAAGCTGAATAAACAACTTGAACACACAGCTTCATCACCTGCATCTTCCAAGCAAGCAGTTTGACATCTTGGACAATAAACTACATCAGCCATGGCGTCAAGAGTTCTCTGAAGAAGCAATCCTTCCCAACGTTCAAACTCATCCTCCCCCAGCAGCCTTTTCAATATATTGGGAGGAACAACACCTTCACATTTTGTATCAGGACACAGCAACTTCACTACAGTTCCTTCCTTGACATGCATTTTGCAATATGTTTGCATGCATTTCTGGCAAAAGAAATGGTGGCATGGAAGGTTGATGAAATCGACACCTGATGAGGTAACAGATTAGACTCAGAAATATGGGCACCCTTAATTCAAATAACATGGATTAACAAAAATGTAAATGGAGAACATCCAAGCTGGAGATGATGCATCACGAAGACCTCAGTACCGTGATTCTAAAGTTTACAATTTTACAAACAAGACAATTTCACACAGAAAAAGGACAAGTTGCTATCTCAAATGAGAACCTCTAGCATGGCATCTACATAACTATGTTAGGTTACCGTGTCTAGTCACCTTCTTGTCAGAAAAAAAGAACAGTTTGAGAACCAAACTGTACTGAGTAGTACTAATACCTAACCAAAAGAAGTTCCAAGGCGGCAATATAAAACAATTGTGGCAAGTAGTGTAACACATCACAAGACTCCTACAGCACTAGTGCAAGCAGTTGAAAATGGAAGAAAGAGTTACCAGGAAGCTCGCTGAAACAAATCATGCAGTCATGGATACCATGCAAAAAGGCTTCATGACGCTTATCATCATTGTATCTAATAATCCTTGGAATTGTCAAATCAGGTGGAGCATCATCTGGACAAGCACGGTTATCCCCACCATCTTCAACACACGTTAGATCACCCTTGCTTAAAACTATCTCATTATCAAACCCTAAGTAAGAAAGGGAAGAGCTTTGGAGCCATTGCACCCACTGATATACTACTTCCATGCCCAGTTGCTCTTCCCAAATCATATCCAGCATGTGACATAATGACGAAAGCATCACTTTGTCCAGCCATTCGGTGGATATAGTGAAAAAGGGAGGCTGGTTGCTCGGGTATGACGAAGGCAGGAGACATGTCAGCAGGATTGGAGGTAAATGCTCAACTCTAAACTTGTAAACAAGATCATCAGAGGCATCTTCATCATGCGCTCCTTTATAATTTAGTGTTCCAGCACCAAAACTGAGCCTTGCCGATACATCTGTGCCATCTGGGATCTCAATATGCACGTGAACCTGTAATTACAACGACAGGTGAAACACTTGCCCTTATAGGTAAGAAGAATATGGCCTGAAAATTGGTCGTGAGGGGTGTACCTGGAAAGTCCGCTGGCCTTGCTTTCTGTTCAGCATGACTACAGTGTCGCCAAAAATTGCTTCCAGGGCACATATCTGAGCATTGGATTTAGATTCGATCAGACTTAAAGAAGCGATAACCGCACGTCCAATTAGAAACTAAGATAACGACAAAATAAGAGTTAACGGCATCTGAGGACTGCCTCTAATGGTACAATTGGACAATTAATACACCTAGGCAATTGAATGTGCACGACACGGTTTTAATTTCACCGGTTCATTTCCGATGAATGGCGCGAACCCACCCAATCATAGAAATTTTACCAACGAGATTGACCACAAATGCAGGCATGACTGTTAAACTGCAGGGCTCTCAGCGTGTGTGCACTACATGATCCTTTGGCAGCCAATCCACATAGAGATGGCAAACAATTCCAGCCCTCTGTTGGACTTCAAGAATCAGCAGGTAAAGCAGCAGGAAAAAAGAATCATGAAGTTCACTAGGGTGTCATGTCTATGATAGAAGCTACTCATTGCACTTATATATTTCTAAGGCAATGAAGCTGCTCAATTATGCTTCGCCATATACTGAATAGCAAAGACAATTCACGAATCACAGAGGGAGAGATTAACCCATCACCTCGTCCTCCTGCCTCTGATCGTTGGTGCGCACCTCCTCCTCAGTCAACTCTACCTCCTCCCGACCAATCCCCACCAGCTCCCGCAGCCTCCTCAAGGCCCCTTCCTCCCGGCCCCCACCCGCCGCGGCGCTCCCAGACCCACACGACGAAGCCTCCACCGGCGGCTGAGACGGCGGTGCCGGCGCGGGGACCTCGTGCTGGGTAGGCGGCGGTGGCGGCGGCGTCTCCACCGGAGGATCCTCCTCGGCGGCCGCGGAGACGTCGAGGCGCTCAAGGGCCTCTGAGGCGGCGGCCGCCGAGGCGTCGTAGGGGTACTCGTGGGCGGGGTTAGGGTCGGGGGCGGCGGCGGACTTCCCGTGGGGCCTCTGCGCCGGGCCGCGGCTGCTGCCCTTGGGCTTCCACGACTTGCGAGGAGGCATCGCCGTCGAACCCCTTTGGCGGCGGCGGGTTCCGGCGGCGGGCTAGGTTGCGCAGGGCCCGGGGTAGAAGCGAGAGAGGGGTCCGCTAGACTGCGTTTGGCGGCGGCGCGGCCCGGAATTTGACGGCGGGGAGTGAGGCGGTGTGGGGGCGCCGGCCGCGGGCCGGCACGAATATCGGGGCGCGCGATTACAACTCTTTCCGGCTCGTCGCGCAGCTGGACCAGTTCTGGAGCTGGGCTGGACCGCTGGAGACCGCGGGCTTATGGAAGGCGCATTTCGCTCGAAGAAAAATGTGGAAGGCGTACTTTCAGTTTTTCTCTCTCTCTCTTCGTTTTTAACGGGCAGCAGTGACCGGACATAGTTGACTGTTCGACGCAAACGTGGGTCAACGGTAAGCGGACGCATACGTGGGTCAACGGTAAGCGGACGCAAAAGTTGGGTCCGTAGCTGACAAGTTTGCTGCAGTTTTCCTTTCCGGGATGCTGCAGTGGTTTGACCACAAGCCGTTCGACTAATCAAAGCAGATGTTTTGTGATTTTTAGTTTGACTGTTTAATATAGGGGGTGTGACTTTGATTGGTTCTTGTGCTTTGCTAGTAAATTTTGGCGCACTGATTAACTGACTACGACATTTCTCAAGTAGTTCATGTAAATTGTTCATCTTTATCGAACGGCTCGAAATAACTAGCGTGCTGAAGATAGCCGGTGATGCTGTGTGCATGAAGAGCTCATGCACATCTTAGTCTTCTTCAACGACCACACGGTAAGCAACTTCTAAAGGGAAATTAAGTTATGATGATTTATGTTGTTATCTCTGCTTTAGAAAAGTGCATGATTAAAAAATGATGACCGGCTCGGGAAAGTGATGACTTCAGCCGTCATCTATTTTCACGAATGATACCTTTGAAATGAGGCAAGACATCTCTTCTTACAGTCTTGCCTTGCACACTTTCAAAACAAAAAGGGTGTCCAGGTTTTTTTAGGTAAACAAGGGTATCTACACAGGCGGAGGACGCGGTAGGGCGAGGTGGGGCGCTCGCCCTACCTTGATTTTTGGGGCTAGGTGTATGTATATGTATCAGTCGATCAGTAAAATTCATGTGAAGCGATTTACTAGGCCACGTCCTGGTTGGGTCGTCACCGCGTCACGGGTTGGCTTCGCTCAATCCTTCCCCTCTCGCCTCTCGGTCCACCCAGACACAGCGAGGCCACGCACGCGAAACGCTCCAGAGGACCGGAACCCTTGCTCGAATAAGAGAGGACACCACCAAGCACGACGGCGGCGGCGGCCAGCAGGAGCTTAGCGGCTCGCCGTGCGGGGAAGGGGGCGGCGGTCAGCTAGACTGCAGCCTGCTGGAGAGCGCCGAGGGCAACAGGAGCTCGCGTGACAATTTGAGGGCGACAGTCGGAACGATAAGATGGACAAGAACAAGAAGGGGAAAGGACAGCAAAGCCAGAGGGCATAGGTAAATTTCTTGAATTTTAGTGTCATTTTGAGATAATATTTTGATAATACAATGATGTGGCAGTGATTAGTTGCATTTTATGTGATGAATTGCAGATTTAAAGAGATATTTTGAGGTAGTTGGTGGTCACAGCAGCTCCAATCCAAGTACACGGGAAAGTGGCAATGAGAGGGGCCAATCTGTTCATCAAAATCAAGTGAATACCATGGAAACGGAGAATGCAAACTCCTTGCCCTCCTAACAAGTGGAAGAAGAGACTCTAGAATTCGTGGAAGCCATAGTCGAGGAGAATGTTAAGGTTCTAGGAGATGAAGGTATAACTATCTTTTCTATGGGTTCCATAAAATGATCCAGGACTTCGCATTTTCACTTCATTGATTTATGGATTGCATCAATTTTATTTTTTTCTCCTTAAGAGTTCGCCCCGCCTTAAAAAGTTTTGTCCTCCGCCACTGGGTACCTAGATGTTTGTTATGGTATGCTAACTTGCAGAAACAACTCGATGCTTCTTTAAATTTTTCGATGAAGCATTTTGGTTGGCTGATCACAAAAACCTTTTTCTAACTCGAGAGGGTGATTCCACGTGAACATAAGTAATGACTCCATTGATGCCACGTCCCTAGATTCATCCTAAACATCGTATAGCATCTCTCTATTCGCTATGTTTTTCTTTTCATTTATTCCTTTTATGCCAACACATGAATACTTTTTTCCTAAAAAAAACTTGGATGTTTTTATAAATTATAAGAACATTTATTTGATACATCTGAACATATTTTTATATACATGATAGTTATTTTTTATCATTTTATGTTACATTTCATACCATCAATATCTTTTTGTATGAAATATTATTTCACATAGGAGTATATGGACATCCTTTTTTAGTGCATGACCATTTCTTTTCATACACATGACCGCTATTTTTTGAATGCAAAGCAAAGCGGAAAGAAATATAGAAGGTACTAGGCAGAACAACAAAATGGCAACAACAGGAGCACCTTTGCCGACCAGCACAACGCCTACACCAACTAGCCAACTAAGTGCACGGGAGGAGGGCTGCATCGAGCAAGCATTGAGCGATGGCTGCATCCACAGACCATACTTGGGCAACACTTGAGTTGTCTCCACCGTCGCAAAGGGCCACTACCCTTTCACCCAGGCTCGATGGGGCCCCACCGGCGACCGACAGAGTGGCTACCAAGAACACGGGCAACAGTGACCAGACATAGATGACTGTTCGACGCAAACGTGAGTCAACGGTAAGCGGACGCAAACGTGGGTCCATAGCTGACAAGTTTGCTGCAGTTTTCCTTTTCGGGATGCTGCGGTGGTTTGACCACAAGCCGTTTGACTAATCATAGCAGATGTTTTGTGATTTTTATTTTGATTGTTTAATATAGGGGTGTGATTTTGATTGGTTCTTGTGCTTCGCTAGTAAATTTTGGCACACTGCTTAACTGACTACGACATTTCTCAAGTAGTTCATGTAAATTGTTAATCTTTATCGAATGACTTAAAATAACTAGCGTGCTGAAGATAGTCGGTGATGTTGTGCGCATGAAGAGCTCATGCACATCTTAGTCTTCTTCAACAACCACACGGTAAGCAACTTCTGAAGTGAAATTAAGTTATGATGATTTATGTTGTTATCTCTGCTTTAGAAAAGTGCATGGTTAAAAAATGATGACCGGTTCGGGGGAAGTAATAACTTCAGCGGTCATCTATTTTCATGAATGACACCTTTGAAATGAGGCCAAGACATCTCTTCTTACGGTCTTGCCTCGCATAGTTTCAAAACAAAAGGGTGTCTAGGTTTTTTTTTAGGTAAGCAAGGGTATCTAGATGTTTGTTATGGTAGTGTCCAAAAAAAGATGTTTGTTATGGTATGCTAACTTGCAAAAACAACTCCATGCTTCTTTGAAATTTTTATTTTTTTTGCGGGGTTGCTTCTTTGAATTTTCGATGAAGCATTTTAGTTGGTTGATCACAAAAAACTTTTTCCAACTCGAGAGGATGATTCCACGTGAACAGAAGTAATGACTCCATTGATGCCACGTCCCTAGTTGATTCCAATGTATAATGAGACAGTACGCCATTATGCAATGACTAGATACATCTTTGACTCATCCTAAACATCGTATAGCATCTCTCTATTCGCTATGTTTTTTTCATTTTTTTCCTAAAAAACATAGCGAATAGAGAGATACGTTTTTCCTAAAAAAACATGGATATTTTTATAAATTACGTAGAGGCGGAGGCTGCCAACGCAGCGGCGAGGACACCATTGTCCGCGGACGGATGCAGGAGAAAATCTGCGAGTTGCGTGTTGGAGATGCCCTAAGGAGTCCTTTTTCTTTTGCGAATGAGATACCCTAAGGAGTCTGTTGTGCATGAACCATGTTGCTGTGTTGAGGCATCGCGTTTATGGTGGGACGCTCTTTTCTCTACAACTCTTGTGTGATCTAAAAGGAAATAGTAAGGGTCCTTTGTTTTTGCACGCCAAAGCAAACCATGTCATGTGTATGCAGAGTTGTACAGAAGGTGCGGTGTGCGTGACGGCGTCGGCGGCACCGGCAGAGGGGGAAACTTCTTTCGGCCAGCGCGACTCGGAGAGGGGGAAGCATTTGGGCCAGGACCAGGCGGTTGGTTTCTTCAATCTAATAGTACACTGGAGGCCCAAACCCACCCAATGGTTACGCTGCGCATCAGCATTCTTCGGCCAATTCGCTCCTCCCCCTCAAAAAAAAAGGCCAATTCGCTCCACCCTGACCAAAACCCTACCCGCCGGGGGCCAGCTCCGTCGCGGCGTTGCGGGGAGGCAGAGGCGCGAGGCGAACATCAACAGCGACTCCGCCGTCCTTCCCGCTCGACGATGCGTGGGGGGCCACGGGTCTGTGTATTGGCACGGGCCTTTCCTAAATTAAGGATAAGGTCCAATAAATCTGCTGCTGTAATTTGGTGCTTTAAGATTCTAGCATTGCCCCAATTTCTTTCTACAACTTGGAAGCTAATATCTTCAAAATTAATCTACTTTGAATATTAGTGCCAGCTGAATTTGAATGCCATTGTGACGGTCCACTTCATGTATGTCTTAAAAGTATCTGCAAAGGGGGAAGAGAACAGAGATAGACGATATGAAACTCTGCTTGCATTTCTTTATGCAGCCCATACTGATTCTAATCTACTTCTCTGTCTTACAATTTTTTTTAAGGAAACAACATTGTGCTGCCTATGCATTAAGAAGGAAGAGTTTTACAGGAGAGCTGTAAAATAATTATAAGAAGCTGATACCCTTAATCAGCTTGAATCCAATTTGAGCTTGAAGGAAGCTGATACTTGGCCTGCCGAGGTATGTCCATAAAAATACTACGCATGTCATATTTTTATATTAATCCGAAGGTTAAAAACATCCAAATTTTAATTCCTCCAATGTACTCCAGAATTTAGCCTCAAGATGCCTGTGGCCGTGAGAAGGCCGCAACTGAGCTGAGTTGTGCAAGCACTACACTACACCAGAGGACTTTGTCATTCACTGCTGTGTTGGCCATTTCTACAGTGTTGATGGATAATTTGAGGCCTGGAAAGGTAAATCCACCATCTCCTGAATTGATCGATCATATTACATCCATAGGCAATAATTCAGTTTGCAATTTCTAGGTGGCCACGAGAAGGCACCGGTTGCCTTCTGCGGAATGGCTTGGACCTCCACCAACCATCTGCCTGCAGAGTTGCAGAAATAGTGTGGTCTGCGTGGAGCTGTGGAGACTGTTGTTGTGTTGCAGTAGGTTAAACTGTTAAATATTGAAGTGTTGCCAAGGTCTTGATGGATAAGTGTTCCGAATAGTTTGTTGTATGGAATACATTGGTAATACAATGGCTGGCTTGAAGCTGGTGAAACTGCTACTCAGGGAGGCGTTTGTGTTGGAGGCGATGGGTATCATGCCTTCCAAGGATGCTGTGTTGACTGTGAGTATTTGTTTTCTACTGCTGATGTCTTGTTTACCAATTGGGGAGCTCTCATGAGGTGTTTTTTAGGATGACTGAGCACCAAACCAAAGTTTTTTGTATCTTCTCTTGCCACTTTCTAGTTCCTGAATTGTACTGTCTTTATTTTCTTACATCACTATTGTTTGTCTACATTTAGCTTAGTGTCTTAATTATATCAATTCTTCGGAGTGTTTTATACTGAGAATAGCACAGTTGTAAGACCCCCAGGAGTGGGATTGCCGACCATGGCTCGAACCTTGGATTAAGCCAGTTTAGAAAAAAACAAATAATGTAATACTTACTGCAAGCTTGTGTATGAGATCATATTCTGGATATGAATATGCGATGTAAATGATTGGCATAGGCTCAATGTTTTCTGATGAAGGTAGATCGCAAAGTTCTATTCAGATGGGAATTTCGGTGCTCTGGTCTCTGGCAAAGGGTAGCCTGGGCTTTTGATTTATCATCTAGCCTTTTTTTCTTTAAAAAACGTAAAATCAACCCTTTTTGCATTGCACTCGTTCGGCGCACCATTACTGGGTCCCCAAAATTGCATCCTTTTGAGAACCATTGGAATCATACGCAATACTTGGCTATGCATGACGGCAAATGGCAACAACATCATATAATCATCCAAGAAATATAAACTGTGATACAGTGAATAACAAGATAGTGCCTCAGCGAAGGGATGCTTTGTTCTTACGGCATTTCTTCACGAGCTTGCTCAGCGCTTTTCTGTGCCTTGATATACTCTGTGATTGCTTCAGCGAGGCAAGCTAGTGCACTGGTACTGACAAAGGATGTGTTGCCTGACTTGTCGTCATCAACTTCATATTCAATGGTTGACCTTATTGTAGATGTTTTATTGGTTTGCCCTATAATCTCAATTCTCATCAAATATTTCTGAAATCCATGATCCAGAAGGCCTCCTTCTACTATTATTGCCTCCTTGACATAGTTTTCATGGTCAATCTTGATGAACTTTTCCTTTTGATATTCTAATGGAGCAACCCCTAGCAACATGAACCACGAAAATTGAAATTACTGAAGCTGATGCATATATTACGAAGCCAAAAAAAGGCATAACTGAAGTACATGTGTTCAGGTTCTAACCATGAGAAAAGGTGAGATGCAAAACTGTCCCGACACCGCCATCTCCTTCAACAAGCTTGGCCTTTTTGAAGATATCGGGAAGCAATTGAGGAACTACCTGGCTAATACCGAGACCTCGATACATCTCCCATACCTCCGCCGCGGGGAGGCCTGTCTCGAAGTCATGGCAAAGGCTACCTTTCATTGCTTCTATGAGCTCTGGGTGGAATGCCAAAGATTGCACGGTGAGTTCTAGATTCTCGGTACACAGATTTATAGGTCATTACGTTCTTAGAATATGTGGCTGACAGATTGAGGTGACACCCCCAGAACATGACAAGTCTGAATGAGTAGTTAACAATAAAGTGCCAGGCCTGCCAGGTTGCCATCAATTTGAGTTACATCTTATCTTCATTTGGCTTGACTTGTCATAGCAACAAAATGCCTGTGCATGAGTATCTTTTTCGAGGTGCCATGTCACCATCAATCTAAGTTATATCTTGTCCTTGTTCAACGTAACTGGCCATAAGAACAAAATGCCTATGAACGAGACTCTTTTCCAAGTATGTGAAGATACATCATGAAATTTAAGGTAAATTTTATCATCAAAAAGGGTTACCCCAGCTTCATTAACGAAAGGAAGTTAAGGTACATGGACTGCACAATATCTGTGTATCACTATGTGTGGCGTTCATATGCTCAAACATTCTATCCTATTATGTTTCATCATTAGTCTGATCGGGCTCTCAAATTCACACATAATATTTGTGTAAGGAAAATAACTTGGAATCATATTTTTATCTGTTTTCAAGTATTGATACACTTTGCGCTGAGCTATTGCAAGAATTAATTGCTCTGAGCAACCTTCTGCTCCTTGATGTATCCTGCAATTTTCTCAGCAGTTGCAGCCATAGGTGCGTTACTGACCATAGCTTCAAGCTCAGGGTGCCCTTCATCAATCTCATACTCAATAGTACTCCCTCCGTCCCATAATGTAATGTAGTTTTTTGGCACTAGTGTAGATCTTGTTACTCAAGAACTGGGTCCTTTCCCGATGAATTTAAACCTGACCATGTAATAGAGGAACCCGAGCTTCAGAATGTCTCCGTTGATCATTTCTGCTTCCTTGATGTAGTTTTCATTGTCGACCTTGATGAATTTCTCCAGGCCAGGAATCCCTAGCAAGCATCAAGCAGTTACTTGACCAGTATACTCATTCGCAGCATCGCTCTGGTCTCTGGTCAGTCATGTTTGCAGATTGCGGTGTTGAACTTTGGCGGACTAGAAATGACACAGTTTTCAACAGAATACAGACTCCCACTGTGGTGAGCAAAGTCAGGATTTGTGACAACCTTAGGCTGTGGAACTTCCCTTCAAGGAAGGATTCATAAAAGGCCGTGCTTCTCGCCCGGGTCAATAAATTTACAGTCGATCAGGGCTTCTTTTCTGGTTTTCAGTCCAGACCTCGGCCAGGTCTTTTGTGATTTCTAGTTTATTCTTGTTCGTTTTGATTCTTCCTTCAATCTTTTGGCTGTTTCCAGACCCCCAGTCTGTGCCCCTCTTTGTGCTTCCCGCCCCCTGTGGCTTTTCTGAATTAAGGTAGGAGCTACCTTCTCTAAAAAAAAATATTTAAGTGTTTTATACCGAAATATGTTTTTAAAATAAATGCATAGAGTTAAGTCGGTTTAGAAAAAGAAGGATGCAATACTTCATGCAAACTTGTATGTGAGATCATATTTTGGAATTTGGATGTGAATATGTGATGTAGTACATAATTAGAGTAGGCCCAAGAATTCCTGCTGAAGGTTGATCGTCTCATTCAGATGGGAACTTTGGCAACATGGCTTCTGGCAAAAGGGTATAGCCTGGGATTTTGTTTTATCAGCTATCTATTTTCCCAAGAGTATGAAATCGACCCTTTTTTGCATCACACTCATTTGATGCACCATTATTGTGTCCCCAAAACTGTATCCTGTTGAGAACCATCAAAATCATCGACAATAGTTGACTACACATGACTGTAAATTGCAGCATGATTATATAATCATCCAATAGATATACTATGAATAACAAGTCCAAGAACTACAAACAGCAATACAGCGAATAACAAGCTATAAAGGAAGTTGCTCTTAACTTATTTTACACTGAGGGGATGCTTTGTTCTTACAACGTTTCTTGATGAGCTTGATCAGCGCTTTTCTGTGCCTTGATATACTTGGTGATGGCTTCAGCAATAAAAGCCACACCACTGGTACTGACGAAGGATGCGTTATCCGTCTTGTCGTCATCAATTTCATATTCAATGGTTGATCTTATTGTAGATGTCTCATTTGTTTGCCCTATAATCTCAAATCGGACCAAACATTTCTGAAATCCATGATGTAGAACGCCTCCTTCTACTACTAGTGCCTCTTTGACATAGTTTTCATTATCAATTTTGATGAACTTTTCTTTTTGATATTTGAACCCAGGAATTCCTAGCAACATCAATCACCAAAATGAAATTACCTGAAGCTGATGCATCTACTGTGAAAGCCAAGAAAAGGCATAACTGAAGTGTATGTGTTCAGGTTCTAACCAGGAGAGTAGGTGAGATGCAAAACTGTTCCGACGCCGCCATCTCCATCGACAAGCTCGACCTTTTTGAGCATATGGGGAAGCAATTCAGGGACCAACTGGCCAATACGGAGGCCTCCATAGATCTCCCATACATCGGCTGCGGGGAGGCCTGTCTCGAACTCATGGCAGAGGCTCCCTTTCATTGCTTCTGTGAGTTCTGTGTGGCTTGCCAAAGATTGCACAGTGAGTTCTAGCCTCTCGCTACATGGATTTTTTTCTGTGTAGAACACAAGTCATCGCAGTTGTTGGAATATGTGGCTGACAGGCTGAGATGTCACCGCCAGAACATTACAGTGTGAATAGACAATTTATGTTAAAAGAAATCTGGTGTTTATATGATATAGTCAACCAGAAGGTTTGCTTACTTGTTTGCCTAGTCATGATGTCTCAAAAAAAAACACTAAGTTGTGTGATTTTTCCAGTACTAATGATAATGATTTTATTAGTACTTGATTGCTCCTCCTAAGGCTGGACGTTCGGTAGAAACCAAAAAGTTCGGTTTTTATTGTCAGTCTTTTATGAAAATCGGTTTCCAAATTGCTAACCGAAAACAGCACAAAAATTTTGAAAACCAAAAATTCAGTTAACCAAGAAATTCGGTTTGGTTTCAGTTTATAACGAGGTGGAAGCTTGAGTTGTTCTCAGCATGTTTCCAGCAGTGTATTTTGCCTCAGGCACCCGGCCTTGTTAAGTAGCTAACTCCTCGTGTAGCTAGGCGAGGTGGGACAAATCCAAGTGTGGTGTACTGGCGAACCAACATGTGGTTGGATGGTTAGAGGGACTGTGGTATCCCCAGCCCATCAAGGTTCAAATCCTGGTGCTCGCATTTATTTCTGGATTTATTTCAGGATTTTCGGCGATGCGCATTCAGTGGGAGGAGACGTTCCCGTCGACGACGAGGCGCCTACGGTGACTTCGTAAATCTCAAGATGATATGCCGGCTCAGTCTTTCGAGGTGCTCATAGGGATAAGGTGTGCGTGTGTGCATTCATAGAGGTGAGTGTATGCGCGTGTATATGAGCGCTCGTGTCTGTACTGATGTTCAAAAAAAAAAGTGTGGTGTACTGGTAGTGTGGCATGGCCTTTTTTTTTTGGAAAATGGTAGTCTGGCACGGCTGGGAGGAACTATGATGCAAAAGTGTGGGCCTGGTTAGCTGAATTATGTGGCCGGCCCATCAAGTGTCTCGCACGCACGCATGCAGCCACGTGCATCGCACCAAGTTCCATGGGATTTCCTATTTGGCGCATATGCGCCCGCTTGCGAACCGGCGCCTGAAGCGCTCGCGCGATGGGCTGGCCCAATAGCTTTTTTCTGTGTTAGATGTGATTCGAACCAGGAAGCTCGTCAACAATAGGTTAGCTAGGTGGCTTGGTTTGTGCATGTGCGCTTAAACTAAGAGGGCGGGGCTCGAGTCCGCACAACCCAATTTATTTCCCCCCTCAAAAAAAAAAAAAAAAGAACCAGGAAGCTCGTGCACGTAGTACCGCGGGTGCAACCAGCACGCCAACACACCTGCTTTGTTTAGAATGAACTTTTACTTTCTTTTACCTTTTTCTGTTTTCCTTTTTTCCTTTTTCGTTTTCTGTTTTTTCCTTTTTCTTCTTCCGAGTTCGATAAACCTTTTTTTTCAAATCGATGACCTTTTTTTCAGATTTGTGAACTTTTTTTCAAATTCGATGAACTTTTATTCAAATCCGATGAACTTTTTTCAAATCTGATGAACTGTTTTCAAAATCGATGAACTTTTTTCAAATTTGATGATTTTTTTAAAAAATTTGATGACCTTTTTTCCAAATTCAATGAACTTTTCTTCAAAATCAGTGAACTTTTTTCAAATCCGATGAACTTTTTTTCAAAATCGATGAACTTCTTTAAATTTGATGATTTTTTCTTCAAAATCGATGAACTTTTTTCAAATTTGATGAACTTTTTTTCAAACCCGATGAACTTTTTTCGAAATTTGATGAACTGTTTTTCATTAAAGAAAATAGACAGTTTCTAAATTGTTTGCAAATAACTCAAAAATCGAAGTGGTGTAGTAAATGGTTGTATTAGTCCTAATACAGTTTGCAATGCTTTTGTTCACTAGCATTCTGGTGCTCTAGTGGTTAAGCTAAGCAGCGGCAGGGGTGTATGGCATGAGATCAATTCCCTGTGGCGCTAATTTTGCAGCGCCAAATAGGACCTCCCAAGTTCCATAGCGAACTGGCCGCTAGGAGTTCGGTTTTTGTTTCGGTGATCGGTATAAAACCGAACTGACCGGTTACAATTCGGTTAGTAAAAGTGAAAACTGAATTTTCCTGTAGTGATAAGAAAAACCGCGTTTTTTTTGGTTTCGGTATCAGTTCGGTCTTCGGTTCATCGATTTTAATGCCGCTTTGCTAAATCTCGTTATAAAAGAACAATTTTCTGGTAGTCCTAATGAAGATGTTGCATCCCATCTTAACATTTTCGTTGAATTGTGTGACATATAAATATAAAAGAAGAAAGATGTGGATGATGATATTGTCAAATTAAAATTATTTTCGTTCTTATTACGAGATTGTGCTAAAACTTGGTTTCATCTTTACCACATAATAGTATTGATTCTTGGGATAAGTGTAAAGATGCTTTTATTGCCATGTATTTTCCTCCCCCAAAAATTATTTCTCTTAGAAACTAAATTATGAATTGTAAGCAACTTGGACATGAACATGTTGTCGAATCTTGGGAGAGGATAAAATTAATGTTAAGAAATTTCACAATTCATGGCTTAAGTTTATGGATGATCATACAAAACTTTTATGCGGGATTAAATTTTCTCTAGAAATCTTTTGCATCCCGCCGCGGGTGGTACCCTTATGAAAATTATGCTAGGAGAAGCTACAAAATTTCTTGATAATATTATGACAAATTATTCACAACGGCATACTGAAAGAACTCCTACTAGTAAAAGAGTAAATTCTGTTGAAGAAATTAGCACTTTGAGTGATAAAGTTGATGCGCTTACGAAAATGGTTGTTACTAAGAGTGCCCATATTGATCCTAATGATGTGTCTTTGTCTACTTTGATTGAGCAAATAATGATGCCGAGATGTGAATTTTTGTCTTGCGATTTTTTTTAAATAGTAATGCTTTTAATCATAGGCCATTTTCTGGAAATTCCTCTAATAATTATGGCAATTCCTATGGTAATAATAATAATAATAATAATAATAATAAATGCCCTCTGATCTTTAAAGCAATATAATTTTTTTTATTAATGCGCAAAAAGTTTTCAATACTACGATAGAGGAAAAATTGAGTAAACTTGATGATATATCTAGGAGCATGTATAACTATTCATGATGTGGAAAACCTTAAATCTAAGATTTTGCCACCTAAACTTGATATTAATGAATCCATTAAAGTTCTTTATGTTTCCATGTATGAAAGTAAAGAAATAACCGCTAGGTTGAGGGCTAGGCGAGAATTCTTACAAAAAGCAATTCCACCCGGTTTTTACGGCAATTATGATTAAGATATTAAAATGATTGGCGTAACATCTATTGGATCTTTGTTTAATGATATAGAACTTGATTATAATGAGACTGGAGATGAGTCAACTTTAGCTAGAAGGCATCCCCATGATTCGAAGGGTGATGATCTTAATGAATTTTTTTTGATAAAAGTGGGTTTGGAAAGGTCAAAATTTTAAATAGCGATGTGCCCACTACTTTGGATTTCAATGACTTTAATTATGATAGTTGTTCTTTAATTGAGTGTATTTCCTTGTTGCAATCCATGCTAAATTCACCCAATGCTTACGCGCAAAATAAAACTTTTACTAAACATATCGTAGAAGCTATGACGAAAGCTTTAGAAGAAAAGCTAGAATTGGAGATTTCAATACGTAGGAAATTATATGACAAGTGGGAACCTACCGTTAAAGTTAAAACTAAAAATTACGAGTGTAATGTTTTATGTGATTTGGGTGCTAGCGTTTCCACAATACCAAAGTCTCTATGTGATGTGCTCGATTTTACCAATATGGATGAATGTTCGCTTAATTTGCACTTAGCGGATTCCACCATTAAGAAACCTTTGGATAGAATAAATGATGTTCTCATTCTTGCAAATAGGAATTATGTGCTAGTTGATTTCATTTTTCTTGATATTGATTGCAATCCGTCTTGTCCCATAATACTTGGTAGACCGTTCTTACGAACCATATGTGCGAATATTGATATGAAAGAAGAGAATATAAGATTTCAATTTCCATTAAAGAAGGGTGTGGAACACTTTCCTAGAAAGAAAATTAAGCCACCATATGAATTCATTATGAGGGCCACCTATGAAATCAATTTGAAAGATGGCAACACTTGAAACTATGCATTACGCCTAGCTAGGGCGTAAAACAATAGCGCTAGTTGGGAGGCAACCCAATAGTTATCTTTATTTTTCTTGCTCTTTTTCTGTTTTTGAGTGTGCACATAATTATGCTACTGTTATGGTTGTGTTTTATGTTTTAATTAGCATTTGTGCCAAGTAAAGCCTTTGAGATGATTTTGATGATAGTTGATTTGATTCTATGAAAAAATAGAAACTTTTGCGCCGAGTAGCAGAATTGTTTAAATTCACCGGAATGTGCTTTTGATCTGAATTTTTTACACATGATTTATATACAAATTTCCCACGTTTTCCTAATTTTTCAGGATTTTCAGAGTTACAGAAGTAAAGTCATAATTCAGGTTACTACAGATTGTTTTTGGCAGATTTTGTTTTTGTTGCATTGTTTGATTGTTTTGATGAAACTATGGATTGTATTGGGGGGTATAAGCCATGGAGAAGTTGGAATACAGTAGGTATAATTCAATAATAAAATATGAATGGGTTGACAATAGTACCTAAAGTTTGTAATTTGGTTATTATACTGACGGATCTCACGAAGGTTTGTTGATTTTTGTGTCTAAAGTTTTCAAGTTTTGAGCGAGACTCGATGGATGAAGGAATAAGGAGTGGCAAGAGCCTAAGCTTGCGAATGCCCGAGGTACCCCCAAGGTAATATTCAAGGACTCCCAAGAGCCTAAGCTTGGGGATGCCCCGGAAGGCATCCCCTCTTTCTTCTACCAACCATAGGTAACATTACTTTGAGCTATATTTTTATTCATCACATAATATGAG